TGATTGGTGGCAGGAATGTGCCTCTCCAGGGTTGGAAAAACCAGTCTGGGGGCCAATGGCATGGGATGGGAATGCTGGGAGTACCAGTTTGGGATGGGAATTCTGGGATTACCTGTGTGAGGTAGGAATGCTGGGATTACCTGTGTGGACACTGGTGTCACCTCACTGAAACTCAGCCATCTCCTCACCAAAGGCAGGACCAGGACCAGGAGGAGCTGCAGACCAGGCTCAAGGTCTCCCCTCTTCTCCCAAGTTCTCCTTTGAAGAGAAGAATCCACACATCAGTTTGGAGGGGTTTTGCAAACATTCCATTTTCCCTTCAGCCATCAGCTGTGTTTCGTTCATCTCCCACACCAAAGTGTTTCCCTCAGAGGGTTTAATTCAGGAAATAAAATCCAGAGGGATGAAGGAGGGACCTGAGCCTCCCAAAGCTCATTGAGTGTCATTCTCAGCACCTGAGAATTCTGTATCACCACAGGACATAACCTTCAACCACAGCACAATTAAAAATGGAAATTGAAGATTTGTCACGTTATGTGTTACCATAATATGTGTTGTTATTAAATATAAAATCATGTTATTCCTTAAAACAACGGATCTTTTTAAAAATTTGCTTCATTTTACATTGTTTTGCTTTATAGGAGCCTTTATTTCCCCATTTGACATCTTACACTGGCAAGAAAAGCTGAAATCTCTTGAAATTCAGAATGCTGAGAAGTGAATGTGAGAGAGACTACTCTGTTTTCATTTCCCAAGGTGAGAGAAAACCAGAAAAGAAGTAACTTAAAGAAATGTTGCAACATATTTTAGTCTGGTAGAATTCTCACAGTTCAAGGGCTGTTGATCATAGCGGGCAAGAAAATTTGCTTTTGAAGATAATACATCTCATTTTTCACCCTGATAGTGACCACTCAGCAAAGGTATAAATCTTAAATAGCCCAGCAGCATTTTCAAAGGGATGAACGTGCTGCCATTTAGGATAAACACAGACAAAAATATCCTCTGTCATATTTGGGAAACCCATTTCCCAAGCAGGCTGTTTGGAGGGGGGGATACATTTCTATTTGTGAGAGGTGGCAAACAGCCCTGAGGGCTGGGATGGGGGGAAGAGGAAGGAGGGAGGGATGGATGAGGGGCTGGGATGATCCCTGTCTGTCCAGGTATCTCAATAGGAGAGGAAACCCTGTCAGTCCCATTTTACAGATTGAAAAGTGAGATTTAGATTAAGTGTCTTGCTCAAATTCACAAAGGCAATCTTCGATACCACTTTGGGTCCTGCATCCTATTCCAGCCTCTTAATGTAACAACCCTTCCCTCCAGTTATTGCCAGTCCTTCATCCCTTTATTTGACTTTTCTGAATATTGCAGAATTACTCACTTCAAAACTGAAGGGAATTCCTGGGGTTAAATGGCCCCAGCACCTTCTGCTATTCCAAAATCTGAACTAAAAAAATCCATCTCTTCACACTCATCAAATATTTTGTTAGGATATTAGACATTTGATCCAAGAAATGGCAGGATACAGGGATTCTCAATGGGGGTGCTCATCTCAGATGCAGAATTCCAAAATCTTTCAGAGTAACATGGTCAGTAACATTGTTGCAGTGTAATTTTTTAGCAATGCAGCAATCCCTAAAATGACATTAAATCAAGAATATCCCAATGTGGAAAAGAGAGCAAATGCTGGAGGCATGACCAAGGTGTGCTTTGCTGGAAAGCACACAGCTCTTCTGCCAGCAAGAAATAGGCACCACAATTCCATATTTTTCTAGATTTTTATCTATATTCAGGTCTGTTGAATCTCAAATTTCTTTCTCATTGAAGGATCAGCTTGAAAGGACACTCGAGTGAATTCAAGGTAAACATTTCTATTTCTCTTGCTGTAAGAAGGGTTGTTATGAAATCTGTTATTTTGCAGTAATTTAATTTATTTTGCCCTTTAAATAATCACCAAAGTATGATTATGCTTTACAGACTACTGTGAATATAAGATTTCCCTCTGAGCTTTACATTTCATATATGAAGTTTAGGATGAATGATGCCATTCTCCTGGCATTTAAAAAAAAAAAAAAAGAAAACCAGTGAAATATCTGTTCCAAGTGTATAAAAAAAGATACAGAGAGTAAGATATTGCTCTGCATCATTTTAAAGCTAAAGAGAAAAGTGTCAGCCCAAATACCTCAGAGCCAAAAATAAAAATAAGCAGAAATAAAGGCAGTCTCATTTAGCTGCCTAAAATTAGTGCAATGCAAACAATAAATTAGATGCAGGGTTTAAAGGAAATTAGACATTCAAAATTCTGTTCAGTGCCAAAAACTGTGGGTTATTAGTAAAAAACCAAGCAAGATAATAAATTATTTCAATATAATGTAAAATATCACCCTTAGTCTTAGACCCAAGGAGGAAAATCCTAATAATCCACCCAGCCCACATGTTGGATAAGCAAATAAAACCCCTAATGGGATTATTTATTCCTGAACAGAGATTCACACAATATCCATATTTTTGGTGATCCCTTCAAAGGGCAGGAAAAACACAGGAACAAGTCACACTGCTGATATTCTTCTATCCTTTTTTCCTTTATTTTTTTTTTTTTTTGAAGCACATAAATATTTTAACAAAAAAAAAAAGGGGGGGGGAGAGGAGAAAAAAACCCCAGTCAAGTCCATTTTGGCAGGCGGTTAATTTGGGTTTCTGTGGTTGGTTTCCATAGGATTGAAGGCACCCATCGGATCTGGGATGGCAGCAGCTCCTCTGTCACAATGTGCACACAATCCGTGGGGCTGGCGGCTCAATGGCTGTGACTTTAACAGCATTGCTCTGGGCCCAGAATCAATTCTCTCTGTTTACAGACCATTTCACAGCCCTTTACCTGCAACATCACTTGTGTCAGTCCCATAAATACTTTGGTGTATATAATGCTTGAATTAGCATAATGGTTCAGGCACAGAGCTTTAAGCACAAAGAAGGACATGTCAACATGTTCTCTTCACTTAAGCAATTAAGAGCCATTATGCTGCTTCAGTGGAAATATCATCAAGGTTAAAGACAATCCCAAACACCCCTCTAACCTTTTTATTCTAAGTCTAATAAATGAGGCATAGAAATTGAAATGTTAGTAAACAGTGCTACTTGCAAGCTCTTTTTGTATCGTGTTTAATCAGAGCTCTCATTCCCCACTTGTGAGGTGTGAGGGGATGGGCACCAGGCACAGGGGTTATTCAAATTATTGAATATTCACAGGTTATTCAAATTATTCACCTTTTTGCAGAAGCTCGTCTCTCTGTAGAGGTTTGTTTCGTGCCTTATGGCAAGGTCTGGGTGCTCTGATGTGGCAGAGTAAAAAAAAAAATAAGATAAATACAGGCAAAGGCAACAGGGACTGTGCCACACAGAAAAATTCCTGATAAATGCTTTCTCTCTGTGTCTGAGTGCACTCTGATACTTCTTTTTTTTTTAATGTTTACTCCAGGCTTTGTATTTTTCTCTTCATGTTACTTATGAAAATGAGCCAGTGGAAATTCGTTATTATAATGGTTTTATTTTTATTTTAAGATGGCAGCATTCAGCCAAGGCCAGAGCAGTTGCTCATGGGTGACTCTGGTGAGATGCAGCGTGGAGGATCCCTGGCACTGAATTTTCAGGGCTTCATTTTGGGGGTGTGTGCTGATTTGTTTGCTCTGAATTCATTCCTAATGCTCAGTCCCTTGATTCTGAAAGCCTTGAAAAGTCTTAGGAAAAACTGGGAGAGAAATTGAGGATCTGGAGCAGAGAGAAAGGGAGAAACCCTTGGAAAGGAAAGGCCCAAAGAGAGAGGATAGAACCCAACAGCACTCCAAGAACTCTGTGTGTTTAGCAGACACCCCCCTGATGCAAATCCTTCTTTTCCTGCAGTATTCAGAGTATTTCATGTTTGGGAAACACTTGAGCTCTGTTGTAGGTTCACATAAATGTTGGAGATGATACAACTTTCTTTTATTAATGCTTTGATGAATTTTTAATTTTTTTATTAATGCTTTTACTAAATTTTTAACTAATGTTTGAGTCACTTCACCAAACCTTGTGGAAGAAGAGAGTGGGTGGGCAGTGTGGGGTGTCTGAAGGCTGTAACCTTTGGGTGCCAAGCACATGTTGTGGCTAAAATCCAGGAGTTTTGGGCATCCGTTGCCTCCAACAATTCCATGCTCCCTATTTGCTGCTCTCTCAGCTGTCCAGCCTTGAGTTTTCCTCTCAGGAATCTGGCTGGGTATCTTGGCTGCTCGAGGTTACAGTGCTGAGTGCTCACAGGACCTGTGGCAGCTCCGATCCTGAGCCATCCATCTGGGCATTCCCAGCTGCCACCACAGTTTGCAGTGTCCTCTCCAGTCTTAGAGCTTTTTCCCCCTCTTTTCTTTCCTTTTCCTTTTTTATTTTTTTTTTTAAGTATATGATTTCTATAACCTTTGAAGAGATCAGTTTGAATCACTGATTTCATGTTCCAAGAACCTCACCATTCCCCAGACTTGCTGAATTTTTGTGTGGATCATCTCACAAAATGAGATGCACATCAACTGCTGCCAGGCTGGGATGTGGCAGCAGCTGGAAATGAACCTCCAGCAGAGGTTCAAGCAAAGCTCAGCTTCATTTCAATACCACCAGCTTGAGCTGCAGACCCAGAACCTGACTGATGGGAGAGAATTCCCTCTTTATTTCATCCTCCCACCATTAGAAGCACCCTGAGAAATTGCCAAACTACATCAGAGCTTTCCTCAGAGCCAGGCAGGGCTGAAATGAAGTTTGGCTCCCTTTTAAGGACACCCAGCTATGGTAACTTTGTAATTGAGCCCTTCTGTTCTGCTGTCCATCAGCTTCCAAAGGAAGCACAAATTGCAGAGGTTGCAGTTTAAAACCTGACAATAATAAATATTTACAGCCTGATTTGATCTGCTCTCACCCCGCTGCAATAACTTCCTTTGAAGGTTGGTTTGAGATCCACGGCAGTGCCTGGAGGCTGAGAACTTGATTTTGTTCTTCTCACAAGTCCTGTGCTCTGCAATCTCTCCTGGATGTCAGAGGCTGCCTGGCAGCTTCTCTTGGCTGCCCATGAGTGTCCCCCCCATCCTTCAGCTGAAGGAATCACTGAGCGTGGCCAGGCTGTGCTGAGGCATCAGTGGTGCCCATCCATCCATGATTCATAAATCAGTGGGTGGATGAAAAGCTGCAGATTCCTCATTCCAGGTGCACGGGAGCACCAGGACTTGTTCCATGTCCAGCTCTCCTGAGACAAGTCATGCTCCTGCCCCTAAAGTGATGTCCCAAAGGTTGTTCCCATGGTTCCTGAGGAAAGCAGCCTGGAGGACAGGCATTGGTGGGGTTTGGAGCTTGGAGAACTCTGCAGAGATGAGTTGTAGGAAGGGACACTGTGCCCCCAGGACACCAGGCACTCATTCCCTGCTTCCTGCAGCACCTTCCAAACCCGCAGATCCTTAAGAGTCCCTTTCCTCTTCTATGTTTAGAGCTACAAAGATTGTTTTTGGTATATAGCAACACTTTAGCACCTTCTGAGCATCTCAAAGCAGAAATTAATTAAGCTCTGGAGCACCAGTGGGAAGGGAGTAAACAGCCCAATTGCCACTTTATGGCAAGGAAATGACTGGCCAAGGTCATCCAGCCAGGCACAGGCGGGAGCAACACACAGCCATAAAACAAGAATTACACAGCTGCCTTTCCTCCAAAGAAAGATGCCCCAAAATAGGAGCTCACCTGAACTTTTACTCAGATTTTGAGGGGAAAATGTGCAAAGCCATACAAAAGATTTTTCCCAGCTACATCACAAAGCCTCTGTTGCATTTTCCAGTCCTGGGTGTGATCGCTCTCGCTCCGGCTGAGACAAGAGCTGTGCTTGAGGAATGAATACAGAGATGTTGTATTGCTGAGAGGAGGCTGTGATAGGTCATTTTATTCTATTTTATTTTATTCTTTCAGTCTGATTTCCTAAGCATATGAACACATGCAGATAATGATAATTCTGATGTGTTTTCTGTAGCTCAGCATCAGCTTCATTTACCTCTCCCTTTGCTAGGACCAAAAGTCCTGGGTGGAAATAACCAGAGCAGCTTTCTGCAGCACTGTGGGAGCTGTTTCTTCTGTTGCCTCGGGCTGGCAGCAGCTCAGTGGTTGCTTCACAGGGTGGAAATTGAGAAGGAGAAACAGAATCCAGAAAACATTTTGAAAAACTCAGCAGATCAACATGTACTCTTTAAAGCTTTCTAACAGCAGTTGTAACAGAGATCACCTCTTCACCTCCCTGAGCCTAAATTCCTGCTCTAAATTCATCATCTCCTCACCTTCCCTTAATACCTGCTCTAAATTCATCACCTCTTCACCTCCCCAGCCTAAATTCCCTCTGCAGATTCCCCACCTGCTGCCACCACAAGAAACCATCCCACCCCAAAACAGAGAGCAGGCAGAGCCTACACCATCCTCATTATTTTATTTCTCTCATTTGTCATTCCAACAGCCCTGTCCACTCTCACCCTATAAAAGAAATTATAATTGAAATGCTCATGTGTTTTGAGGCAAGAGCGACTCTGTGATCATTTAGCTTTATCCAGGCTGTTACAAAAGCTGCCACAGATGCTTGTTCCACTTCTTTTCCTGCACAAAGAAATAAAGCATAGTTGCACAAATGACATGTATGTCAATCTTTAGGTCACAATGCTTCCTGCAGTTGTATCCCAAGTAGGAGACATCAAGCTAAAGGCATTTAAGAATTAACAGTCTGTACCCGAGACAGGAAATGGAGTTTATAAAACAGGTGGATGAAGACCAGTATTCACTTGCATCACATTAAAGCAAATCCATTTATATTTTATTTCCTATATACTGACTCGAATGTGCATTTTTACCATAATCAGGCTCTGCAGCTCCTGGAGGATGTGGGATATTTGCAGGTGGATTGCTTTGCCCTGGCAGAACTTCACAGCCAGGGTTTGGAGGAACCTGGGACAGAGGAAGGTCCCAACCCAAACCGGTCTGCAATTCTGTGACCTTGCCTGTAAGAAATGATCTATCACAGGAGAAAAAGGAGACACTGCCCAGAAAATTCCATGGGGATCCTCAACTCCCCCAGCCGAGGGTTTGGCTTTTCCACCCTGAATCCACACGGAGCTCACAGGATTCTTTTGCAATGCCATAAGTTTTGCTCAAACCCAGGGAAAAGTTAGCACCTGGTGCTCCAGACAGCCCCAGCTCTCCAGATTTCTGTACAAATGCTCCTTTCCCTGAGCACTGCTATCCTGGGTGCATATTAACCATGATTGAAACAACGCCCATTGGAAGTCTTAAAACCTTAACCACCAGTTTTACTTCTAAAATAAAGTAAACTGCCAAAAGTTCTGATAAAAGTGACAATTTATATTTTTAAGTAGTACGTCCAGAATTTTCCTATAGCTGTAGACAAAGGAATTCTTACCCAGATAAGTATAAGAGCACCAATAAATTTAAGGTAGCTTATGCAAGTTAGGCACTAATGAATGTCATCTTCTGTTTTGTCATGAAAAAAGATCTTTCTGCTGCTAAAGGAGACTGATTTAGATTATGAATAGCTGTAGTGATTTGCAAAAATGGCTCCAGAGAGATAGACTGAGATTCCATATACTCATGGCACTTGAGGTTTCTGCCCTTTTTGTTGAAAATTAATTTGTCCTGTGGGTTATTGGATTCTAGCTCAACCAATGTATATTGCTCAGTCATCACAAATTTACTTAAAATTTAGTGTAGCTGAAGTTCATTCAACAAGACAAAAGTCCACAGTTGAAAGCTTCTAAAAATCTTTTTAAAAAACTGGGTGATGGCGTAATTGAAAGCTCTGGGATGAAGGAGATTTACAGAATGTTTTGCAGGTATCACTGTGGTGTATTTTATCAGAGAGACTCTTCAGTTTCCTCTATGGATGGTGAGAACAAAAGGATGGTTGTTGTCCCCTTGGTGGGTTTGTCCCATCCTCAAACCCCAAGCTTACACTCCTAAAATGAGAAGTGCCTGGTACCATTTTTTACAGCTTCCTCTGCTATTTCTTTAATTTGACACATATTCTTTTTTATGGAATAGAGAAAGAAACTCTGGCTATAAAATGTCAAATGCCTCCTCTTACATACCATTTCTTTTTTTCTTTTTTCCTTTAATTTCCTTTCTTTTCTCCCTTTCTTTCCTTTGTTTGCCTTTGATGTATGAGAAGAAATTTCATTTATGTTCTTGGAACCCCCATCTGAGTTTTCACTTCTTAGCTTAAATGTTGCCTTTGCTTGTAAATTTGATGCCCCAAAGACAAATAGGCTTAAAAAAAAGGTTAAAAAAAATAGGTTAAAAAAAAAAAGAAAAAAAAATCTAATTCTGCTCAAATCAGCAATCTTGTTTAAATTAAAAGGCTGTAACTAATTTGATTGATGGGTCCAAGTCCTCTCTTAGCCCCACACTGGTGAATTGGATTTGGAATCCGCACCAAGAGGGGCTGGTGAAGGTTTTCAGACACAAACCAGAGTGAAACACCAATGTGGGCAAGAAGGGGCGATCAAAGAACGAGCAGGTTTTAAACATTCACAGCAGAGTGGTTTTTCATTACCTACAGAGGATAAAAATCTTCTTGAAGAGAAATAATTCTCCTTATTTTAAGCTCTATCAAAAACAGTTTCATGTCGCTTTTAAATGATGGGGAATTTAAAAAAGAAAAATATGAAGGTAAATAGTGCTGGTGGCTTATGGGGAAAGCTCATTTTGAGCACAAGCACTGTTGAATGTCCCCAAACACTGAGTCCATAAACACTTTGCTTGTGTCCTGCCTCCCAGGAATTACGCTTTAAAAATGACAAACCACAATTTAAAATTCAGTTTCAATTTAGCATTAAACCCACTTCATAAACATCACGGTGAAATAAGAGGAAATACGGGAAACAAGAATCCTCACAGTCCAGATCTCTCTTCAGGTGGCTATTTTTTTATATTCCCATTTTTTCCCTGGCTCTGGTGATACATCTGAATACAACTGATGGAGTTTCAGCCTCTCAGCTCTTTGCTTGATACACAATTGCACGAAATGAGATACAGTGCCATAACCAAATCGGGACACAATGGACTGGAAATTTTAGATTAATAAACCTCTTTCGGAAGAGAACTAAATAACTTTTACAGTTTTATCTATGGCTATTTGTTTCTTTGAAGATTTATGGTCCTTGCAACAGATATGCATCTTATCTTTCACTCTTCAGATTACAGGAAGATGATTTTAAACAGGCTCCTGACTGGCACCAGCTGGAATTGCAGATGATCTTGCTTTAAAAAAAAATGCTAAAAGTGAACTTGCAAGTCAAATGAGAATATCATTACACGTGTCAGAGGGGTCTGAGAGCAGAATCTGCATCCAGCTAAACAAGATCTAATCCTTATTGCGGCCACCCGGCGTCCTCAGGCAGCTCTTTATTAACCGGGAGCTTAACGAGGAATTACAACTTTTCGTGCCGCCTCTGCTTTAATTGATTGACGCTAAAAGTTTAGAAACTCGAATCCGAGGCTCTCTCACAAAGCTCCTTTAACCAAGGCTTCTCCTTTGAAAGCAGACTCCTCGATTGAAAGTGGCAGCCCACATTTTTAGGTTTCAAGCAGCTCTGTCATTCCGGCAGGAATGTGTCTGCCACTTCACACGAAAGCTCGGCCTGAAAGACATGTACTTTGAATCAGAGAATCAATAGAACACTTAATGGACAATTAGGAGAACAGCTGTAGGACTGTCAAAGGCCCATCTGTACACAGCTCTGCTGGACAGGGCACGGAGCTCCCACTCTCTGCCCCGGGGCACCGCTCCATCACCAACCCCCTTTCATTTCCCAGCCACCGCTAATGGAGGATTCCTTTTTCATTACAAATTTTAACACGTGTAGAAAATTATGGAAATTGCTCGGGCCATTTGTCAACTTATATCATGTGAATTGATCAATAAATTTCACCACTTTGTTGTTAATGTAGATAAATTTTGGCATTTAATTAAGCTACAAGTGAAAATGTGGCCACTTTTAATTTCGGCAGATGCTCCCTTTTCATCTGTAATCCAGGGATACATTGGCAAATACATTTCGGTCGCTAAATATTTATAGACAACATGACAATTCCTAAAAGAGTTATCATCAATGATTTTGGTTCTGAAACAATTAGCATTGTTCGAAAGAGCTCATGTGGAAAGCCGAAATAAATTCTGAACAGCAGATCAAATTATGGTTGCACAGGTACATTGAACGTGTAAATCACATAAATCTACACATTATATAAACACATGATTATTCCAGAAATCCTGCTCTGTGCACAAACATGGAAATTCTGATCAGCCAAGATACAAATTCCCACATCCATAAATACTCGTGCACTACACAGAAAGTGTTTACAGATATCTCTGAATGAGACCACTACAGTGATATTTATCCTTAATGGAGCTGCTTTGCAAATATATAATGGGAGAGATTGATCTCGGGAAGTAGCACCATGGAAAGGAACATTTCAAATACAAATACTTTATGTAGGAGAAGTAGGAGTTGACAAAATCATTGCTGCTTGTAACAATAAAAGTATTGGACTTATTTTTAAATAATACCGAGTAAATTTCCAATCCGTGATAATCAGGGATCAGCCTTTAAACTTCCTGATATTTTTTAAGCACACAAAGATTTGGCCAGACAATAAGAAACATAAATGAACATTTTAGGCTTTCTATATGGCCTTAGGGAGGCTGAGATGAAATCCTGCCTCTGACAGCCAGAGGCCCCAGACACAGCACTCAGCAGCCAGGCTTGACATGATGAACTGCTGAGGCTCCTCTGAGAGCCAGGGGGGTTTGCCTGGTGCTGCTGCTGCTGCTCTCAGGGCCTCTGGGGCTGGAAAAACCTTCAAATCCCATTGCTGGGGCTGCTAAAATCCCCCTGACCAAGCAGCTCCTGCCCTGACCTGCAGCTTTTGGCTGAAGGACTTGTTTAGCATTTAGAGGACGCAGGTCCTGCAGGATGAGCTTGTGCAAGGAGAAACCTGAGCAGGAGAATCCGTGGGGCTCTCAGGATCCTCAGTGCCCTGAGCAGACTGGTAAAAAATGGGTAAAAACGTAGAGAGTGCCCTGAGCAGACTGGTAAAAGTCCTTTTGCTTGACTCCTTTGTGTACTTCTCTGTTTTTACTGCTGGGCAAAATCATCCAACTTGATAAGAAAAAAAAGAGACCACTCAGACACACCAATCATTTTTAAAGTGGAGTCTCTGGGTTTGTGGATTTGTCACCACTGCAGTGTGTTTTATTTCCAGGGTCTCACAGAAAGTGGTCAGCAGATTCCCTGAAGTTGTTGGGAGTGTGGGGAAGAGGATGGGAATCCTGTTCCAGCTGAGGCTCACTGGCCTGCAGCTGAGGATTTGTAATTCAGAGAGAGAACAGGGAATGCACTTGCAGGAACTGGGGGGAATATCTGGACAGCACAGAATACACTCCATAAATACAGAACATTCTAACCAAATCTTGAGTCACTGAAATTATCTCATTGGCCTTTCCTCTTGAACAGAAAGCTTTGTCTCAGCTTACCAAGGCTTTTTATTTTTTTTTTATATTTTTTTGGCACTTCACAGCATTGGCATTTGCTCTTCCTGGACTGGATCAGCACAAGTTCATCAGAACATGCCCAGGATTCCTGTTCCTGATGGCTCCACAGTGCAGGATCTTCTCTTGCCAAGAAGGAGCCCTGCTGGAGAAGGCTTCACATCCAGGCTGTCACTGCAGCTGCTGCCAGCAGCACCCCCTGCACAGGTACCCCAAACCCTCCCCATGTACAGGCACACACAGCACCCCAGGGATGGGCAGGGGACTCCACAGCTGCATCCCACAAACTGTGACTCGTGCCTGACGTGGCACTTGGATTACAACAGCTTTGGAAAGACAGGGAGCTTAAAGGCCTGAAAAAGCCAGCGGTGGTCCCCGTGCTGAGCTCTTTGTCACTCACCCTTCCTGTGTAGCACAGTGAGAAAGGACCCAGCACACCCTGGGGCACAGCACCAAACCCCTGAATCCAAACCTGGCACCAACACAGCCATCCTGGAAGTCGGCCTTGCTGTAAACACTTCGTGGGTGAGGTGAAAAATGCTTGACAATTTGAGGCAATGCTTGTTTCAGAGGGAATTGTGAGGAATATTTACTTAACTTTTCATGGTGCAGCCTCAAACTCTGGATAGAAAGGGATCACACTACAGTAAGCAACGAAAAAAGTCAGTGAAACAATCTTTGTTTTTTAAAAAAATCTGAATAACAACAAACCCATTTGTCTGTTTCACCAGCAGAGCATTTTTGTGGGAGATCCCTATTTATCTGATTTATTAGAAATGCTCCATTGAGACAGAAAGCATTTTTCTAATAAACCAAGAGGTTAGCACTATTGTTTTCAGTACAGCTGACCCTTGGATTTGCTGTAAAACCAGAATCATTAGAAATGCTCCATGGGTTATATTGGAGCATTTCTAATGAAACAGAGGGTCAGCTCTATTGAAATAATGTAAAATATCTAGATTCATGAGAAAAACTCTACTGAAATGCATGGAGCGTTTCTAATAAATCCAGATTTTAGTGGAGCTCAACCCTGAATCCATTAAAACATTATGAAAAAATAGTTACTGAGCATGCACCTTAAGTACTTTTTTGCGGTGTTAATCTCTCATTTATTCTGAAATGCGTTGTAAAAATAGCACAAGGCATCAGTGAAAATTTCCTTATTTAAAGTCTGCCTTTTCCTCCCCTTCCAAGGAGCAGAAAGTCACTGCTGCCACCAGGAGCAGGCACCTGGAACCCCAAAGCTGTGCTCCAGCAGCTCCCAGGAACAGGGCACTGCAGCCTGTCCCTCTTCAGGCACATTCCAAATGGAGCAGAGCACAAAAGGACCCATCCCAGGCCATTCCCACAGATGGAATGAGTGTTGGGAGAGCTGCAGAGATCCAGAGAGGAGCTGCTTGTGGAGAGCTCTCAGGAATCTCAGCCTTTTCCCAGTGTTTATTTCTTTCAGTAATTTCTTCTTCAAAACAAATCAAAGTGAAAATCTAAAGCATTTTATATAGGTCAAACTTACCAAACTTTTGGAAAGTGCATTCTGGGAGTCCATTTGTCTCTGAAGGTAAGTTAAATAGCAGAAAAAATGCCTATGGAATTCATCCAAATGAAAAAAAAATCCTTAAAAGAAAACTGAGTGTCAATATTACTGGAGAAATTCTGAGAAATTTCAGTGTTTTCCCTGAATCATCGATGTCAGTATCTGTCTCACTCAACCTATTTCTGTAGGAGGGATCATGGTTTTTTAGTGTACAGCACTATTCAAAGCCTAGTGAACTTCCAGGTTTTATTTAAAGCAGATTAATCTGCTGTAATCTTGTAAAAGTATGTCCTAAAGATCAGATGGTTTGGGTTTAATGTAGTTTCAAATCACACACCCATGGCAGGTGCCATTTTTAACCTGTGTGTCCACTCACCACTTGATAACTGCCTGAAAGCTGGGGCCCAGGGTAAGAAAAATTAGGTATTAATTGCAGCATGTTATGAGCCAGGACATGTAAAAACCAAAGTCTTTCTAATTCATTGTTTCACAGCAAAACTGGAAGTTGTGGCAAGTTTTGGTGATGCTGATGCTGATAATTTTCTTATATTATTATCTTAATTCTATTTTTCTGTTGTTAAAGCTTTATTATTGCACCTCTCACCTTTTAGAACTGCTGCAGCCATGGAGCTGCAGACACCAGCTGGGCTCAGCACCGGGGAAGAGTTTGGAGAAGGGTTTGGATCAGCCCCAGCCGCCCCCTGCCCTCAGGTAACACATCTCAAAAAGCTCTGAAAACAAAGCAAAAGTGATGCTTGGATTTATGGGCTGAAAGAGCTGCATTGATCAGGCCAGAATCGATGAGACCAGTGTTATATTGGGTTATTTCAGGAGAATTTGGTTAAAATTAAGCATGGAAAGACAATGCACTCCTGCACGAGGCTGTTCAGGGAGCTGGGCTGGTGTGTGCTGGAGCATTTTCCAGCCCTGCTCTGACTGCAGTCCCTGTGCTTTCAGCAGACAGCAGAGGAGCTGGCTCACCTCTGTTTATTTTATGAATGCACACACTCAGCCTGTCTGCAGCTTGTCAGCTTCTGATGCTGCTCCTTTGGTTGCTTTGTACCCACATGTACAGAAAATGTATAGGAAAAGTATATTAATATAATTCTATCTCAACAGATTTAATTCTTAAATGCTACATATACTTGGTTAATCTCTCATTTTAGAAGTAGGAAAGGTTAGATTATAACATCAGGTTAGCTCTCTTTGAAGCAGGTAATAATTAAGTTGATTCACTGTTGCAATTACTGTCAAATCCCCCTTAATTACCACAGATTTTATAGCAGCTTCATTATACGTCTGCTGTAATGCATTGTGGCCCAAAGGAGAAGTGTTGCAGGAAATTCTGCATAGCATGTATAATTCTAACCTGCAGTTAAAGCTCCTAGTGAAAGCCTCTGCACTAAATTTATCTTTTTTGACATTTTCCCCCCTATTATTTAAAGCAGTTGAGCTGGAGTAACACCACTAAAATATACACCTAACTTCCTGAGTGAAAATGGATCTCTTCGTAAGTATTAGGAATAAAAATGGGAAAATTATAAAATTAGCAGTGAATTATCCTTGGCAAACTGCTCAGCAACAATGAAGAACACTTCTGGTCCGGTGTCATGTGGGGAGAAAACCTCTGCCCATGCTGTGAGTTGTGCACTCTAAAATCCCACTGAACACAGTTTTGGAGGCAGTAAGAATTTGCTGGGGCACTTTGCTCTCCATGAATATCTTCATCCATTGTTCCTTTTGCATTTTATAAACGGAATTTTAAAGCAACTCTCTTTTTGAAGTGACCCTCCAAGTAACTCTGGGCCCGCCACAGCCTGGTGAAACTGCTGCTTTCTGGCTCACGTGTCACTGCTTGTTTCCATTGGAAAAATCTTTACAAATCAGGGTCTGTAAATTGAGCCTGCAACAGTTCAAAACAGATAACTGAATAATGTGTGCCATGGATTCCCTTGTAGGGAAGGAATTTACTCCCCAGCACATATTAGATGCAGAAAGGGCTCCAGTGTCAGTGACACTATTGGCAGCTGTGTTAACAGTGAAGGAGCTGCCTTTGTACAGCAGTACAGTTATTAAATTTCTCCAGAGACCATGACTCATTAATCAAATATTCATACATCTCTGTAAATACATGCTGAACAGAGAATACCCTCAGAGCTGAGCATCCCAGCACAAGTGCTCTTTCATGTGGCCTTGCCAGAGCCCTGAGAACATGCGGTCATGTTTTGCATTTCCAATGGCCCGTGCGCTCCGGAGCACCCCCATCCCTAAAAACAGAACACAAGTGATCTTACTGATGGCAAGTGTTACACAGCCACAATTAAAATTGCTTCACTATGGCTTCATACCATCTTTTTAAGAGTGAGGACAGTGAATCAATTCTTCTGTTCTTTGTTTACCATCAGACAAGTAACTTTTTCCCATACGGATGGAGGAACCCAAGGCCATGCTCCTTTTAATACAAGAATTTGTATTAGCATGGAAACAACAAACCAATAGTTGGACTGGGAAGGCCAAAAACTTCATATATTTGCAAAGGCATGAGCTTGTTGTATTAAACAAATGCTTTATTTTGTGTTTCCTCACTGCCAGACAGACACATCTCACCTGCTCCAGATGTGAACACATCCCAAGTTTTGACCTTGGTCAGGATGAGATCACAGCCCAGAGCTGAAGCCTCTCTGAGATCTGCTAAATTCTGCTCTATGAGCCTTTGAAACAGTTTTCTGATTTTCCTAATCCTCATCCAGGACTTTGGGTTTGAGTGCTGCAGGTTCTGAATCACGCTCCCCGTCCTGGCTCACTGTGGGCTGAAGTAGAAAAATATCTTTAAAGAGGGTCATTTGTAAGTGGGGATGATCCCATTGCTGAATGAAGGTTTAAATTCTGTGCTGTTGTGCTCTGCTGGACTCCAGGGAACAGGGAATGGAAGGAATGACCTGAATTTTCAAGTCCAACTCGCAGGAAGTGTGGCCAGCAGAGAATCCCAAGCGATCCTGGTAAGAGGAGGGATATGTTCAGATAAATCCTGGAAAGAGGGGAGTCTCAGATGATATTCCTTCATAGTTTTTAGAGGCTGGGACATAGAATTCACCCCTGGAACCAGTCCCTAACTGCAGATTTGGAAGGGAAATTTGCATAAAATCCTTATGGCCCTGTTTAAGGATTGAGCTCCAAAATTACTTCCTTTTTTAGTTCCCTTTCTAATAAATACAGATACTCTACTTAAGCACCTCCACAGCTCCTACCACATTTATTTCAGCGCATTTTAATTTTCCTTAACAAGGCTTAACATTTACATTTTAGAAAGAAAATCCTCTCCTATATTTAATTAGGGCACTGATTGAGACAGGATGGCAATAACCTCCCACCCTTCTGTGTTAGGCAGAACCCCCCCCCACCTTGCTCCAGGAGCCAGCATATGCCAAAAAAAGCAAGTTTGGGTATCTGCTGTGTGCCATGCAAACATCACAAAGCTGTGATCACAAACCCCTTTCCCTCCTATCCTCCCACTCCTGGGCATCTAAAAAGTGATCCCAGTCCCTTCCATGACCTTGTCCACTGACCCAGCAAGCTGCTGGATATGGATAATCCCTAAAACATTGACTTTAATTACCTTCCCTTGGGGCACAGGGATTCACAGGCAGGATCAGAGTGTAGGAAAGGAGGAGATGGAGAGCAGGAATAAAACGTGAGTGCTGAACAGAGCTCACAAAGCCTTGGCTTTAACACACCCCTAAACACCCACCAGAGCTGGGTGAAAACAGCAAACATTTATTTGTGCATCTTCTTGCATAAATAAAACCCTGCTGATTTGCTTTGATGGCATTTACGAGCACATTTATTCATAAACATTAGAGTGAGCAAGTTTTTATTTGCAGGAGTGTTCATGGCAAACAAAAGCCTCGTGAATTCTGGTGTGGATAAATACCAGAGAGCTCTCACTCGAGCAGGGGCTGCTGCAGTCATTAAATAAAGCTCTTTTTACTATTCACACAGTGGATTCACACAATTACAGCTGCCCGTGGACTGCTTACAAACAGGGAAGGGAACTGTTTATGGAGCTCAGTTCATCCAATTAGGCAGCAGAAGAATCTTGTGAAGACACCAAACCTCAGGGTCAAACCATGAGTGCCCAGGGCTGGATCCTGACGCCCTCAGATTCCTCTTTTCACCTTTTTGTCAATGCCAATAAGTTACCAGCATTTTAAGATCCTTTTATATGATGCTGGCACGGCCTAACCAAGCTGGTGGGAGGCTGTCCCTGCACTGCTGGAATGTTCTGCCAGAGGCTCCCAGTTTAGGGATGGTGTAAGGAGCTGAAATGCTGCTGGATGTTGTACCTGGCTGTGCTGCACAGCCTCCCATGCAGGGCTGGGGGAATGCACCCCATAATAATCAACTCCAAGGTGGAAAAGGGCCATGAAGTAACCTGGCCTCCTCTTGGAAGCTCCTGCTGCTCTGGCCTCTCTGGGAAAGCCCGATGACCTTGGATGAAATGGTTGTGGAAACAGAATGTGGGGAGGGCTGGATTTCAAACCTGCTGTTTGTGTTCATTTGTGGCATTATTGACCTTTCATAACTCACTGATGGCTGCTTTTCACTCCATCATTCCCTTTAAGAGGATGTCAATAAGGCTGGAAATAAATCAGGTCTCTGGAGCAAGTCCATTTTCCTGCTGGAATTAGCAGGGAACAGGAGATCCCTTCCCTGTCTCCACTGGGCACAACTGAAGTGCTCAACTGCTTCACTCTGACAAAGCTTCTGGGTTTGGAGGGGTGAAAAAGACAAAAAAGCAAAAAAACAAAAAATAGCACAAAAGACAAAAGTAACATATTGTGTTTGCCCCAGTTTTCCAGCTCTGCTGAAGCATGGGGGACTGGTGAGAGGGAAAAGAAATCGTTAGAGAGGCATCACAAAGCCCCTGGATGGGGCTTGGAGCACCCTGGGACAGTGGGAGGTGTCCTTACCCATGGTAGAGGGGCACTGGATGGGCTTTAAGGTCCCTCCCAACCCACACCAGTCTGGGATTCTGGGATTCTGTGAAACAAATTTCATAATGGTTTAAGTATATTCCCATTTCCAGGCCTTCCAGAAGTTGGGTTGCAATTCTCCAGGCTCTGCTTCCCTGTGAGATCAGCTGTCACCATCACTAAATGATTCCCTCTCCTAAACAACCACTCCAGAAATTCCCAGTTCAGGAGTAAATACTGGGCAAACCCAGAATTCCAGCCTCACCCTTCCCAAGAGCCATCCCTGAGAGCTTGTGCCCCATGGACAGAGCTGTGCCCTGGGCTTCTCCCCCAGCCTGGTGTTGGAAACTTGTCAGGAATCAGCTGCTGCCCTTGCTGAGTGCCTGGAGGGCGTTTTAAAGGTCGGGACTTTGGCTGGAGATGGGAGAGGCTGCAGAGGAAAGGGAGGTGGTGGCTGGGGGGGTTTCCCCATGGAGGAGCTGCAGAACCAGGTCACAGAGAGATCCTTCACCCTACAGCCCTGAGCTCCCAGGGCAGCACCTCCAGCAGAGCTCTGGGGTGTGATGGGCTTTGGTGTCAGGATAATGTCAGATATTATAAACACAGAGAGAAAGGCTCCTCGCATGGAGAAATGGCAGAGAGGAGTGAGGGGAAAGGTGCTGAGGTGGTGAAAAGCTGCGAGTCTGTGGTGCCGGTGCCTGGCTCCGTCAGGCAGGTGAGGAGCCCGTGATTTGTGGGAGTCCTTTCAGAAGCTGGGCCACTGCTGGGTGTGTGAGTAACTAATGCTCCTTGGGTTTGTGTTTGAAGGCAGCAGCAGCAACACTGATGACACGAATTAATTGCCTGGTTTTCAGCAGCTAATGCAGACGAGGTAAAGAGAATTACTACACGATTAACATAGTTTCCAATTAAAGTCCCCTGTAGTTACCCAAAAACATTAATTTCTACTAACTTGGTAATTTAACTTGTGTCACCCTTATACACAAGTGCATCAGGGCATTCTGTGGGCTCGTCTGTGCTTAAACCTCTGACAAAAACCATGCTGAAAACCCCTGAAAATAGCCATGAATTTTTAACAATTATTTGTAGCAAGCTTTGAAGAAAACCCCACTGTGGTGAACTAAAGGATTTGCTACAAATTCAAGGACCACAACCCAGCTGCTGTTTTAGCACTGCTACTTCTCCTCAGTTAAAAGGGAAAAACTTTCACTTTTCAGGAAGTTCAGAGATGTTTTGACCACTACATTTTTTTATCCAGTTGGAAAAAGACTGAGAGAAAAGAAACCATTCCAGCCTTCTAGGGAAGTTTGCTGTTGGAATGGCAGAACCACATTTTCCTTTTCAACACTTCTGTGCTACAGCTCTTGTAATTCCACATGAACATTTCTATTCCAACAATTCTGAACCAAAGGCCTTTGGAAGAGCAGCTCCTTACAAGAGGTGGTCTGTGGGTGGGTCTGTGCACATGGAATATTTTGGAGGTACCTGAATTCAGGTGGTGGAGTTGTGGAAGGACAATTCAGCCTTCAGCTCCCACCTCAGCCAAAGCTCCTGTCCTGCAGTGGGTGGTTGGTCCATGATGGAGCTGGGAATTCAGCACAGAGAGGTTCCTGCACATGGAATATTCCCCCAGCTCCTCTCCCCCTCCCCAGTGCACATCCACTGCACTTCTGTGCCCTGCAGTGCTTCCTTCCCTCCTCAGCAGCACAGCCACCAAGCTCCACGGTAAATCCTCCTGCAACCCATCCCCGCAGGCTCCCGATGGTTCTCCCTGTTCTCCTGAGCACTTAAAGCCTTCCTGCTGGGAAGGGGAGCAGAGGAGAGCACCAGTGGAACCAGATCACACCAATTACACCCCCCTGCTCTGTGACAGGAGCTGTTAATGATGCAGCAGCTGATTGCTTTGCTTTTCTTAACTGTGCAAAGCACAACTTGGTGTCTCATTTCCTGTCCGCTGCCACCCAAAGGAACCTGATCTTTGTTAAAGCTGCATCTCCTTGTGCTCCACTCACCAGGAATCTTCTCTCTTCTACCTCTGACATCCACAATTCTCCTCATTTTGACATCTAAATTCCATAAATATGTTGTTTACTCCCTCTTCTGGGCTAGTAATGAAAAATAAGAAGATCAAGCCAAACATCCTCACACACCTGTTAGTAAAAAGTCATATTATGCCAAATATTAGCAGGATGCAGCAGTGCAGAGGTTACTGATTTAGACAAATAATGTGTGGTGTTTTTTTCCTTGAAAACAAATGAACATTTTGGCTTTTGGGTATATTAATTAACACATGCAAATGCACTCTCCAGCTCTGACACAGACACAGATCTGGTCTAGTTATGCCTGAAATCTATCCATTAGTCACTTCTTGCTCATAAAAGTAAAAGGTGCTTTAATGAACAAACATGATGCTTATTATTTGGATCAGCAACACTTGTGCCTCTGTGCCTGAGCAGCACTTAGACCAGGTAACATTTGGTTTACAACACAACAATAAAATCTGCCTTTATTGCAAATAAACAGAGTATTCACACCTTACAATATTGGTTTAGATGCAGGATTATATTCACTTTTAGAGGATTTAATATTAATATAAAAGGCACATGCACTTCATGTTTTCACACCTCTTTTATTTCCCAAGCAGCGTTAATATGGTTTTTTAAATATTGCATTTACTTTGTTAAAACATGAAACTATTTCTGTACATTTGTTTGCAATCTGAGAACACACACCATCAAGTAATCATTTGTACAGTAACAACACGTATCAAAACAAAAAAAATCATCACAGCCCAGAATTTTCCACATCCACCCCCTTTTGCTTTGATTTAAAAGCTGCTCTGGCAGGAGAAGCCTCACCATTATGGTAGTTGAAACAGGAAACAAACACTGCTCTCTTCCAATAATTGTCTCCAGCTGCTTTGATTGGTTGCAGTTAATATTAATAGTATAACCTTTAAAAATTGTGGAGAAAGGTAATACTTTATCTTCACTCCTCATATTAAGGCTCCAAAGCAAGCTTAATGAGAAACCATTAGAAAGTCATACTGCTAAATAGTATCTTAACTCCCAATTCAGCCTATATAATTACAGCAGGGCTGCGAGTGACAGTGACTCCTGATCCATCACCCTCACCTTTCCACACTGACTCCTGATCCATCACCCTCACCTTTCCAGCAGGAGCTGCTCGGGATGGGTGGCAGGGTGGCAGCACAGCCACTGAGGCCACACAGCTGGGACGTGTCCCCTTCCCGCAGGAACGACTCCAGCCGTGCTGCAGACAGGAGCAGCAGGGTCTCCAGAGCCCTGGATCCCTGGCAAAACCCAGCCACAGCTGGCACAGCTGGCAGCCCTGCTCAGGAGAGGCCTGGAATGGCAGCACAGGAGGGCACAGGCTGGCATATAGGGACTGGCCAGGCTTGGCAGGCACACCTGGCTCTGAGCAAAGCATTTCCCTTCACGACCACAACGGCACGGACACTCCTCCAGCCAGCAGTGAGCAAAAATAATTAGTACATACATTAGTAACTGACATCTTAAAGACTTTTAACATATAAAACATTATCATCTTTATGAAAATAGAACAATCTCAGCACAGGCTTGCCTTTCTGGAGGAGGAATTCAGGTATGCTTTTTATAGTTAAAAGGCAAGTGTTCTCCTGGACAGCTGCCGATGCTCTTGTGTAAAATGTCCTTAAAGCAAGACAAACTCCTCTGTACTAAATCTCTTTAGTCTTTTCTTTTCATCCTCGGAGAAAAGGTCATTTTCTTCATGGAGTGGACTGGAAACAAAGTCATAGTCTTTAGAATGACCCTTGACAAAAGTAAACAGGGGATATTTTTCCTTGGATGAAGATTTCAGCATCTGCAATGTAAAACATTATACATTAATTGTAATAAATAAATGTAATAAAACATTAATTGGAAATGAAGAAATACAGCAAGCACTGACATTCACCTGATGATGACTGCCAAGTCAAAAATGCATTATTTTAATTAGCTCATTAAACAAAAGCACTGCACAATCTAAACATTTCCTCCTCCTATTAGATGTTTACTTCCCTTTCTCAGGTAGCTGCTAACTTCCTGCCTGTCCCTGGTTTTGAGCACACAGATCACCTGGATGTGCTGTCAGACTCAGTGCAACAAAGAGATAAAAGGGTAGAAGACAGAAGATAAAAACCTCTACAAAATAGTTAATGGCCATAAGGGTCTCCTCAAGCCCAGGTGTGAATTCTGAAGCAACTGAGCATCCTGGGGAGGGATTTCTATTGTAGAATTGGCACGTGCAAGAATCAGTGTTTTTATTAGAAGTTCAAACACATTCACCAATGTAAATAAGGCAGGCAGGAGCACGTGGCTGAAACCAGATTGGTGACAGTCACAGGGAACCAGGGTGCCCAAAACCATAAGAGAACTGGGCATGGAGACAGGAGGTGTGGGGAATAATAAATACTGAATCAGATCAGGAAAATACCTTCAAGAGCAGATAAAACCCCACCAAATACTGAAAGATATTTCAGCCTTTCAGGGTGTTTTGTCCACTGATTCATTTTTAAATTTGTTTTACTTTTTCTTACCTGATTGGGAAAAACCAGCCCAGTGTTGCAGTGGCTGCAGAACCACATCAGGCTAGAGATAGACACTGCAGAACCTAAAATCACTGAGCATGATTTCAGGAGAACAATCAGTAAAAAAAATCCCCAAATAGATCTTCAAACAGTAAGAACTATTTATAAAATGACAGTCAAGGATTGAGGGGGTGTTTAAAAAAATAAGAAAAAAAATCAATCAATCCCAGTAAAATCCTGGGGTTCCACTGCCTTGTCTGTGTTCAGCTTTACTGAAACTTCCTTCTCCATAACATCTCTTTCCATGCACTGAGGGAAGTGAGGAAAGTGGGATTTGTGTAACTCTGATCATAACACATCTCAACAGTGAGCACAGAGAATTCGAAACTCTAAACAACTTGCAAGTTTCCTCTAGACACCATTACAGTGATAGCCAAAGGAGTTTATTGATAAAGATCAGTATTTTCTGTATTTCATTGTCACTGTTGTCACTGCAACAAGAATTCTTTGTGCTGAACTGAATCCAGGTTTAACCCTCCCTCAGCTCCAGCTCTTCTCTCGTTTCTGCTACATTTGGGTCACAAACAGGCAAGTGCAGCTCTATGAAAATCCCAAGGGATTATTTATTTTCTGGCCTGTGTCTGCATATGGAAACAACTCCAAGAGGGGAGCCTGAATATGGTTTGAATAGAGTTGCACCCATCACTCCACTTGGGCCTCAATTCTGATGCCCTATTTTATCTATCTCTAAATATATAAGGCCCATAATGTTTATCCTCAAGTATTAAAAAAGCAGGCAGAACCTGGATTTTTTAGTCCAGCCTCCACAGGGCACACTATTTATAGTTCAAGAGTTATCACACTACAATTGCAAACAAAGGGAAAAATAATGGAAGAGAAGGAAAACACAAAGGATGTGAAGGAAGGATTGCAAGATCAATTGATAGAAAGTTTCTGACATTGTCCCTGTATCCAAACTTTCCTCTCATTTCAAACTGACACTGCCTGAAATGTACTTATAAAAAATAATGTCACTAATATTAAACAGCTCCTATCTAAAATACCAGGACAATAACTCCAACATTTGGATCAGTCAAGAGTATTTTCACAAACTGTGTTCAGGAAAAAAACTGTACTTAATCCCAAACTTGAAAGAATAGAAACAGGGGAACAAGAAAAAGAAAACCTCTACTGGAATGGATTTTGTAATGAGTTTTTTTTTACCACGTTATGACATTCTATGTGACAGAACAGGAAAACATGGAAGAACAGAAATTTAACTATTTAAAACTTTCCATGGATCTGCTCCTTAGGAACTTCTACTTCTTTATATCTATTTTCTACCTTTCTGGGTAAGAATCAAAGAAACAACTTCAGCATCAATGTATTATAATCAGCATTAAGTTTTAAAAAAATGCATTTTTGGCTGTAGTACTAATACCACTTATCAGGTCATTCCATGTGCTGGACAAACATTAATTCTTTGTGCTGTTGTGGTAACTGCTGTGGTTTCAATATTAACATTGAGCCCATCTGCTGCTGCCTCCTTTTCACAGAGCATTTTTTGAAGCCACCAAACACTGAGCAGCTCACAGAACACATTGATGATGCTGCATTTCATACCCTCACATACTGGAATAACTAAGGAGAAAAAAAAAACTTGATTCCAGTTGGATCTAAATGAAGCCAGAGCAGAGTTTCTCCAGGGGATGGATGGGGTCACACAGATCTGCTGGGTGGCACCTGCTCTGTGGAGCTCAAACCAGGACCCTGCGCTTCCCACCAGAAAAAGCCCCTTGTGCCAGGGAGAAATCATCAACGATTTGGGTTTGCTCCAACACTTCCCTTCCCTCCCAGTCCGTGCCCAGGCTCCGAGCATCCCCCAGGATCCGCCGGGCGGGGCAGGCGGCTGCCAGGGCTGGAGGGGACATTCCCACTTCACGAGTGCCACCTCGTGGGCCCCACGCCGCATCCAGCTCTGCCTCCTCCCGCAGCTCCCCCACACAGGGAAACCCGCCGGAATAAACACCAACCTGCACTTGTGACAGCGGTAAAAGCACCGAGAAATGCCACGAAAAGAATTAGGTGTGCTTAGAAGGGCGAGGCTGATTGTCTTCCCCACACCTCGCTCTGGCTGAGGGATGGATTTGGGAACTCCAGCACCTACCTTGGTGATTTCTTCAGAAGCCTTCTCAAAGTCCTGCACAGTCCTACAGTAAAATCCTATTGTGCAGCTCGGATCCATTTTTTTGAATGACATCTTTTTTGGAGAAGGACAGTGGAATGACTGCAAGTTTCCCAATTAAAAAACACAAACCACACGGTTACAGCCGGGAATGACACGGATCCATGTATTTACTTTTGTCCTCACCAACAGCTTTAAAATATCCAATCCCCTGCATCACCTGAGTTAAACCCCAGCACACACTTTGGAAGCAATTTCTCCCACCCCCCACCCCAAATATTCAAGTGATTCCACCCTTCCCCAGCAGTGTAAAACCTCCTGCTGTTCAAGCTGCATTCCCCAAACTTCCCCACACACCAGGTTAGTTTGGAATCTGTCAAAGCTCTGCTGCTCCCAGCAATACTTTATGAATATTCCCAAGGCAGAGAAGGTGAATGCTCTTCTGCAAATTGAATTTGTAACAGCTTTTGCACTATCTTACTGCTTTACTACCACTGCCCAGTGCCCTTCCCTCCCCCAGCCTCTATAAAAGAGACATAATGGAATAAACCAACCTCATGCATTTTCCTTCAGTAAATGAAATGGGTTCAAAAACCCACAAAACACACAAAAGCAAAACCATATTACAATGATCCCACAAGTAGGGAAAAACCAAACATGCCCTGCTTTACAAATGGGTTTTTCCTAACGTGAAATCTCTTTCCCTGACAGATGCTGCCCTGCCAGTGCTATGAGCTGATACTTTCAGCAGCCCTGCTGTAAGAGAAAACAAACACAAAACCCCCTTCCCCACGCTCCTCACTCAGTTTATGACAGAAAAAATAAGTGTATCCCATCTACCCTGGTTCTGTGGTTATTTATTACAGGAACTGCAGTTTTGGTGAAGCTCTTTGTCCAATAACTGCAATTATTTCCTTACTTGCTCTCAGAGGGAGCCAGTCCCCTCTACTCTGCCTCTAACACAGAGGATGACCCATCATCTTCCCTCTATAAAATCCCTTTTTTTTTTGCCAATCACAAAAATCAACCCACGGGAGACAGCACTGGTTCCCAAATCTGAGTGCAACCATCCCTGCAGCAGCAGTTTTACATAATAAAATATATTGTTCTTTCCTGGTGATTACAAACCCGAAAGGTATTTCTGTAAAACCTCTGCTAAAAAATACCCAGAAAGATGATTAAGGCTATTTCTGCAAGAATTATTTTAGTCACTGCTTTTTCTCCTCACTGTTCCAATTTTATAAACAGCAACTGTATTTTTAATATTAATTCCTGAACTATCAAATGCATAAAAAATCAAACCCATCTCATTCCAGCAGCAAGGCTGTCCCTCCAGTTGTGCAGGAGGTTTTAATGCTGCACAAACCACTGCACAAAAAAGAGAAGTGGGGAGGATTTTTTTTTTCCCATTCCTCCAAATAAATGGATGCTGGAAGCCAATACAGAGTAGATTGATTTCCAACTTATTCTGGACAATTTATCAATTTTGAAAATACTCCCTATAGATAAATCTAACAAGCAACTATCCACACTAAGAAAGCAATTTTTGTTTACTTTTGACATTTCTGGACAAAGATATAATACTATTAAATGCACCAAGCATTAAATTGCAATCTATTTTCCGTCTGCAGGAAAGCATTAGGATGAGATCAAGCCAAGCTGGCAGCTTGCATACCTTCCAAACACAGCTTAAAACCTTGCTATTATTTGGAAATTCAGATTAATGCCAGTCTGCAGAACAATTTTGAGGCTGAGTCAGAGGAACAGAACCCAAAAGATGTCTTTTTGTGGCTTGGCCACTGCACCACAGCAGGACCTTAAGGAATTCACTCTGCTGCTTTGTGCTCTTCCCACCTTTTGCCTGGTTTTCCCCAAACTGTAAAATCCCCAGAGGCACTGGAGCAAAACACAGTTATGAGGAAAAAGGGGAAGGGTCTGGGTAATCATCCCAGGCAGAGTTGGCACTCACCAACTCCTCCTCCAAGTATCTCAAGAGGACAAACCTAAAGGCATCTCTAAACACAACCAAACTTCCTGGCTGGGATATTCTCTGACCCATTTTGCTGCTGTATTATTTTGCTTCATTCAGAACCTTCTCATTTCCTAGAGAATCGTCCACTTCTATATTATGTAACATGCTAATTCAAGCATTTTGTTAAGCATAAATAATGAAAAATATAAAGTGTTTGCTTTAAGGACTTCAGCCCTGTGTAGGTCCTTTGATACTTATTTATATTATATATGAATAGTTTTCCTGAACTCTATTTGATGGGATTTTGGTCCAGCTCTGGCTACTGCTGTCCTGGCTGTGGATGCCCCCTCAGGCTGCTCCTACTGAACCAAAGATCACCTAAAGTTGGGCACAAGACCAAGGAGAGTTTGTGTGGATGGCCCTGAGGATCTGACTGTGAGTGCTGAGGCCACTGAGCATTTCCTTGCAGCTGATGATGTTTTCCCAGGGTAGCTGTAAATTGAGTCCTCTGATCATCTCCTTTGGCTCCATCTATTTCCAGGCTCCTACTATTGAATACAACAGGAATTTTCCCTGATGTTGATTGCAATTTGAATGTTAAATAAATAAATAAATAAAATGACCAAAAAGACAAACTATCAACCCCAAATCTAAACAGGTTTAAGATCTACAAATGTCATCTATTTTCTTTGATGGAAAATTACTTAAATGAAGTGATCATCTATATTGAAGATTTTATGATCATTAAAAAGAAAACAGATGAAGATTAATGAAGTAAAAATTAGACCTCCATATTGAGATTTAACCTCTGGTCATTTTCGTTGATTATAGGCCTATAAAGGGCAGGACATTGATAAATAACATGTAACTGTAAAACCATAAAGCTGCAGCTAGCTAGAACAGCTCTAAATAATTAGTGTTTGATTCATATGGGAAGAAAACAGTGCCAGCTCTATATCCATAGTACCTCAAGAGGGAAATCCTTTATGCTGACATCTACAAAAGATTGGCAGTAATGAGGATCCATGTAAATCAAACTGTCATCTGCAAGGACAAAACAGAAGACAAGTAATTCAAAAAACACCTTATTATTACACTGCTTACAATCCAATTTCTATGCAGAACAGCTGGAAAAAAAAGCCAGTGAGTAACTGCTTGCCAGGCTGATACTCATTGACTGAAGCATAGGTTTTTGCAGGACAGATTAACTTTTGCATAATCAAATATGCTTGTATAAGCAGAATTTTTATAAAGTGATGAAACTGTCATTTAATTTTTGGTGATAAAATTACTTTTACAAACACACAATTATATTCTGGAGTTTGCATATGAAAAATGTATCGCCCTGCTTCATCCTGACAGCAAGAATATATTGCTTGTCATTTAGGCATCAACTAACACCACTTAAAGCAGGAGAGAGTAAATACCTAAATAAGAACTGCCAGACAGGAACAGCAAACGCTCCTCAAGTTTGGTGAAACAGATAAATTATGCCTTGTTTATGCAACAAGGGAAATTAAATGTACATTTTACAGAATCCAATTACTCCGTGGGGTAAATGACAAATGGCTGGACTTGGGGAGATGTGATGAATTAATAAGGTACTCATTTTACTATTTTAATCACGCTATTTCCCACTGCTTCAATATTAACTTCCTAACTCTGAGAGAAAAAATATTTCCCACTGCTTCAATATTAACTTCCTAACTCTGAGAGAAAAAATATTGAGGAGACATAACACATTCAAACACTAACCTTGGAATCCAGCAAAGTAATAGGACTGCTTGGGTTTGCCACCAATAATGCCAACACAATACTCCAGGCTTAAAATTCCCTAAAACAAGAACAGGGAATCATTAAGATTAACCAAAGTATTAAACTGAATTAAAATATCTACTCTTTGCTCTTTTAGGTAAATGGTTTTGGATTTTTTGAAAGACTGACTCCATGACTTCCTGGGGCTTGAAAAGTGAAACCACACCAGCAGATATTCCAGAGAAAGTCCTCCCTTCCCATGAGATACACACACATGTTTTTGGGGAGGAGACAAAATATCATGCCACACATTGAGCATCAGTTCCTTAGCACAAATATCCCAATGTACTGAGATTTACAGCTTTCATACATTTACATTCTGGGCCCCTGGGGACTCTTCTTTTTGCACTCAAATGGACAAGCATGGTCAGAGCATCAACCTTTTACATCCTGGGGAGAAATGCCAGTTGAAGTTAAGAGTAATTACAAGGCCCAGCTCCAAAAACAGCTGCCCCACACCCAGGGAGGAGAGACAAACACACAACAGACAGGCCCCATCAATCTCCCTGGAGGATGCCTGGGAGGGCAGAGGAGCCAGAACCATCTGAAGGCAGAACTTTTGGGAAGGGGACATTACTAAATGTAAGTAGGGAACTTTTCTTTCAACAAAAAGAATACCAAAGCTCCTCAAGATAAAATCCTTCCCTGCTTAGACAAGGATAAAATAATTTAAAAACCTCCCCTGGGATGCTACAGAGTGAAATCCAGCATGGTTTATACAGGTTAAGGAAGTGATGCTTATTTAAAATACGAATGAGGTTTCCTTAGAAACTTATTTAAAATATAAATGAGAAGGTTTCCTTAGCAAATGCTCTGAGCATCACAGAACATCCAGGCACATCAGAGGCAAAGGCTCCAGAGCCAAGGAGGGCAGAGCAGAGAAGGAACAAAGCTGCTCAGAGTAATGGATAACTGTTTAATCTATGGCAAGCTTCTTGTAAAAGTGAATTATAAAAAATTTATCAATTTTCACCCATAAATATAAAATCCTTTGTAGAAATTACCTCTTGTGCTACATTCTAAAATCTGCATTTTTAACTTAAAGCCAGACTCCAAGAAATGTGGTCACTTCTTGGGAACAGTCAAGGCAGACACCAGAGTGACTGATTCAGGCAATTGAGAGCCCTCTTGTCACAACCTCCATCAGGCTGCAAAGGGCAGGACAGCCTTGGCATGGGAGCAGCAGGAATCACTCAGTGGAGCCAGCTAAAAACTAAAACTTTTCCAAACCAACTGTCTGAAAACACAAGGAAAATAATCGTGGAAGAACAACAATTTAAGCTCATAACTTAAAAGCCTTCAGCAGTCTGTCTTCCCTTGCCAGCAAAAATCAAAATGTTTTCTGAAATGTTACAGTGAAGAGACAGACACAAAATAAATCATGTTACAGACTCCCAGCTTTTGTCCATGCTACTACACTGGGGTAATTAAAAATGAACCCAAAATTTAAAGACAGGTAAAGAGGAGCTTGGAAAATGAAATAAAAGCAGCAGGGCTAAGAGAACAAGCCATTCCCTAAGTGGAGCAAGAGGTAGGATTAGAGCACATCCTCAGCTGTCTGCAGAACCTCTGCTGAAAAAAACACAGCACAGACCTTCCCCCCCCTCTGCCTTCTCCTTGAGTTTTCCTTTTTTCCAGCTCATTTTTATTGTGTTAACTGCTTGCTACTCCTGCATCACCACCCTCAGAAACATTCACCCAGACAGTGAAAAAACGATTAAAGTAGTGAATAAAAATATCAAATAATTCCATGAGAACAAAGAGACAAAAGAAAATGGGAAGAACAGACAGGCAACAACTTTAAACCATTTGAACCATTTTCTTATTTAAGAAAATAAGAAACAGAGTAAGGAATGGAGTGTATTTATATTTTAAAATGCTACCTGATCCTTAGTTACATATGCTATTAGAGTCCTGCTAGATTAAATTACCATTTGTAATTTGAGGCACTGCATTAATGTCTTTTCAGGTGGCTGCTGGAGGAGTAGGACAGTTATCACTGCTTTACCAAGGGACATCATGTGCTCTGCAATTATGTCTGATCTTGTAATAGGGAAATTTCAAATCTGTAAAGTCAAACTTTACAACCTTCAACTGTAAAATCCCCACCACACGTTTAATGGGGAGAATTACCCTCGTGAAGTCGCTTTTCATATCCCCTTGTGCTACTCTTTGAAAAATGATTGAACTCTCATTTCATACCTTTACAAACTCCAAGTAGTCTGTGTTTGTTCTCTCTCCACCGAGTCTCACAGGAACCAATATAATTACAGCTTTTGTGCCTGCTTTCCCAGAATCCATAAAAGAGCACTGCCTGTCAATAACATCCGAGCTGTAGACTGAGACAAACAGAAATATTAACATTTCAAATAGAACCTCCAGTTTTTAGAGACACACCTCCTACACAGCATCACAAACAAAAACTGCAGCCTTTCCAAACCTTGCTGTCCTCCTAAAACACAACCCAGGTGACTCAGAACCAGTGTTGAGCCTCCTCATTCCCAACAATATTTTGTGGAATGGAAATTGCTGAGTTGCAATGCCAAGGAAATGCAGAAGGGATAGGTTAGGAGAAAGGCAATAAATATTTATTGCTGCATATAAACTTCTAAAAGGAAAAATTAAAACTTGAAAGCTCCCAACTAACAGAAACATCTACATGTAAAAGGAGAAGAGGCAATAATCTATTTGCTGATTTGGAATTTCACTGTAAAATACCAAACAAGCAATGAATAACCTGCACATATCAAGAACCCCTTTGTCTACATAATCTCAATTTTGTGGATCCACTTCATAGGGATATTTTTTCCTTTAAAGCTCTATTGTTAAGTGCTAAATGAAAAGCATAAAAAGCATCGAAAATGTTTGCAAAAATCTACAAAATCACAGTTACCTGTACAATCCTGAGCAACATAGACTGTTACTCCTTGCAGCTCTGGGTCTCTTGCTTCTTCAACAGCTTTTCTAAGTACAAACACAAAACTATTTAACTTACCATTCATTTTTTTAAAAAAATAACAATAAACAAACAAATTATTTTGTTTTTTTAGAAATAGGTTGATTTTAATTGTTTGTGATAGGAGTTTTTTGTTTGTTTGGGTTTTTATAGGGCTTGTTTTGTTTAATTCCTTCCCTTCTGGATAAATACAGGTGGTGGGGTGGGATTTTCTATTTGTTTTTAAACACTGGATACCAAGATCCAGCCTGAATCTTCCATGGATATCTTGGCATCATGTTTTTCCCAAGCCAAGCAATGTCTGGCTATATAAAAGAAACAATGACATCTTCAAAAAAAAGGCCCCAAATCCCACAATAATTTACAATGAAATTCATATTCACTACTTTATTTCTTTCTGTTTATAACCATTTTCTGTCATGTGTGTTGATGATAAGGGCTAACTTTGCTGAAAAAAAATACTATTTTCAACTCATTAGATCTCTTAATTAACCTTAGTTCATATAACAATCCACGAATTAGCACCTGGAAATAAAAAGTTTCACCAAAACTTTCAAAAAGATAATTACAATATTTGACTCTCCTCAAAAGACTAAGAGTAACAGACCTAAAAAGTAAAAAGAAAATATATGTTGAAAGTCAGAACCATAGTCAACAATCAGGGACAAAATTTGTAAAGAAAGGGAACTGTTCAAAATAGAGGATTTATCTTTGAGTTCAAACACACACCTGCATTAAATGGTCACTATCCCTTTATTCCTCACTATATTTTGAGGAATGGTTTAATGCAATCATTCCCAAGTTATGAGGGAGCTGTACATTGTTAGTGCTGCTGGAAGAGAGAAAGATCCAGGAAAGGAAACTTCAGCAGGCTGGAAATCACCCCTGGGGTTGTGGAGAGTGTAACTCTGCACCAAACCCCCCCTGCTCCCGTTAGGGGAATAAAGAATTTAACAGATAATTTATTAAAACAAGCAGAAATTCTGACTGCTTCTATCTGAGAAAAAAGTACAATAAAACACATTAAAAAGGCTAAACTCCTACATCCCTGTTTGACTCTGCATGGATGCACAGCTGATTGTTTCAGTACAGCTGCACTTCAGATTAATGTAACATTTCCACTAAATAACAAATTATTCTATTTCTATATATATAAAAATATATATAAATATGCATGAACTTTGCCTTCTCCTGCTTAAATGATTTATTAGTGATACTGTTTATAGGTAAACCGGAATCCACTAAAAAAATAAACGTGTAAGACTACAAAAAAATCCCAAAACATTCAAAGAACTGGATATCAAGGCTCACAGTATGGAGAAATTTGACTTTCGACTTTTTTTTTTTAACCATGCTGAATGTCACAGACCCTTTACTTTTACTGGGATATAATTATAATATTAATAGTCCCATACATTTACAGTTTCACAAGAATTTGATGTGTGCAAAGAAATGCTGAAAACATCAATTTTAGCTCTGACATTTCATTACACTATCAGTACATTACAGCCCCCAGGTTACAGTATAAAAAAAAAAAAAATCTCTAATGTTATGCATGTTCCAAGGTTGAAAGAGTGGTTAGTTTTTAGAACATTTCATTAAATGCAGCTCTACTTAAAGGGGTTTGGAAGAGATACTTGGGATTTTAGAAGAAAACAGGAATGTTGTGTTTTTTCCTGAAATGAGATTGACAAAAGTTCCTGCATCTGCTGCCATGTCCCTTCGTGCCTGTGAAAAAGCTCTGGAATTGCTCCTGATATGGGTGTTTTACAAAGCCAATAATGAGCAGTTTGCTGCTCAATTAGGCTGAAGTAATCTCAGGACACTCAGAAATGATTCTCTGTGATGTGACAAAGGAAAGGAACGGAGAATTGAAGGTGTTTTACCTCAAAATGTGCGCGACCACGGCGGGCCCATACCAATCCCCCGCCATCTTCCCGGATTTCTTCCCATACTCTATCAGCTGGTGCAGCCCAAAGGCTGCCAGCGGGGAGTCACCAAACCAGGAGATGATTTTCCTGTGATAAACTTCATTCCTCATCTCGGTGACATCCCAGTCCCTCCTCGCTGGGCCTCGCTGGGGCTGGGGCAGGATCTTGGGGTCCCTCTCGGCCGTGAGTGACGCCTCAAAGGAGGCCGTGAGCTTCCTCACAGTGCTGCTGGTCCAGGACTCCGAGTCAGAGCTGTCCATGTCCAGAGCTTCTGGCCACACCCAGGCTGCAGCAGGAAAAGGGAAAATCCATGTTAACCCATACTGACATTAATTTTATGGCATCATAAGCAAAGAGCTTCCCTTTGTCCCCCAAGCTCCTGAAAGCAACAATGTGTATTTGATTTAATAATAATAATGTGTATTTTACACGTTGCTGTTAACAGGTGAACAAAGAATTTGAGAAGAGCAGGATTTGCTCTGATATCCTGGTGACCATCCCAGTCAGCTGAATAAACAAGATACACACGATTACAGTTTAGAACCCTCTAGCATATTAAATACATGAACATTACTTCAACACTATCTAAAAACCTAGCCTGCTTTTCCAGCTGAAGCTTTCCCTGTGGATGATGCATCCCACACAGCATTCTTTCTACAGAATGGGCTTCAGCAGGCCCAGGGAAGATGCCTGGAATTCTCACATAATTCCAGCAAGCGCTCCCAACACTGACCCAGCTCAGCGTAACATCCTCACAGGCCTTGCTGTTCTGGGCTCTCAGCTTTACATTCAAAGTAAAACTTCATATTTAAAATCAAAACTCATTCACTACAATATTCAGCAATATCTGGAACATTCCACATGGCAGTGGAAGCGTAAATATCTCAGCTAGAAACTTCAGGCAAGTTTTGCTTCCTAACAGAAACAACACCATTAAACGAAAATGAAAACATCTCTGGGAAAAGAGTAAACAGCCATGAAAAACTTCCTGTAAACACCTAAATATGTTTTCAAAGCTGCCCAGATCTCATAAAAAGCTTTTCAAAAGATAATTCACCAGCTGTCAGAAGACCAAGCGAGGAGCAAAGTAGCCCAGAAAGACCAACCCTACTCTGTCTTTCTGTGGATTTGGATTGCCACAGAAACAAGAGCACTCTGGAATCACCCCATCACCTTCCAAATTAGGATACAAGGGGGACATGCAAGGAATTCTTTGGAACCATGGATTTTAAAGATAGAAATCTGAGGCTTTTTTGTTTGGGGTTACTTCCAAATGAGCCATTACACACTCCTGCTGACAGGGAGTCTTCTGGGCAGGTCCTGAATTTCTTTTAAATGAATGTATAAAAAAAGTGATATTTAAGGGATTTGTGTTCTCAGCAGAAGTATTTACACACTTTTTGATATGTGCAGTCAGTTGAAAGAGATAATGAATGTTTCAGGAGTTAAATATCTACAGCCAAAGGCACATTCACTGAGCCACTCCCACAATTCAGTCCTGACACTGAGGCAACTGAGCCTTTGTGGTGCAGCTGGGCTGGGACCTTGCTCCCAGCTTACATCAGAGCTGCACAGCAAGGGCAAAGCGTGACCAAAACAGGCTTCTCCAGAAGGATCTTCTGCTGAAGCGCTCCTGAGATCCCACAAATGGCTGAGGAAACAATGCACTGTGTTCTCTCAACCCCCCCGGGTGGCTTCAGGCCCATGCCCTAGGTCATTCTGAAGCAAGCAGTGGATGATTGTTATGAAAGGGACTGGGAATGGGATGGAAAGAAAAGGTGTTTAACTCTGACAACCTAAAAATACCTCTCCGCAGGACATGGCTCAGCCTGGAAGAATAAGAAGGACATGGACACTCAGCCCATGACAGCAGAAAGTGTCCCACAGCTCCTAAAGCTTCAGCTGGCTGTGACTGAGGGAGGACTTTGAGAAAGACAATGGTAAGGAAAAAAGGGAAGTTCATCTCTAAGTACATGGGGGGAAGGGAAGGAATGACACAGTGAACATTTCCACAAAGAGAATGATGTATGGAAGTTAGATTAGATTCTTTCTAGGAACTCAATATATTAATACCAGCAGAAATTCAATAATGGACAACTTTAGAACTGATAAAAGATCATCACTTCTGCCATAGCCCACAGCTATGGGCTGGGGAACTCACTCCTACATCTGGAGTTCAAGAAACAATCACATTTCCAGAGAACTGGGCATATGCACAGGTAAGAATACCCAGGTAGGGAGATTACACTTTGGTGATGTTTTAACTCACACTTGGATATTTGGAACTTGACAGAAGTTTCCTCTGGCACACTTTGGTCCTCAGAAAATGAAGGGCAGGACAGGCCAATTTCTGGTGCAATGGGACAATACCAACAGGGATTGAGGAGCCCACAACCAAAACCAGCTGGACCTTGAGATTTGGGATAAAACAAGGCCTTTTGGTCTCTTCAGAATGCCTGTGCTTATGCAAAGACAGAGATCTTCTCCTAACTCACCTCTCCCAAGGAAGTGAAGCATCAGACCCTGAGCCAGCAGCATCTGCCCCGTTCTGAGCGTGCAGCCCCAGCCACAGTCTGTGGTTAAAGCAGAGCCTTTGATCTGAGGGAATTCCTCTCTGTAGGTCAGCCAGATTCGAGAAATGAAATCTTTGCGGAACTCCTCGACATTCCCCGAAATCTCAGTGTTGATTTTATCAAAATTGGACCCATCTGTAGAGAGCTCTCCAGATTCTGCAAAGCAAAGCACAGTTTAAGCTCTAATTTGTTATGGCACTTCTGTTATTAGAGAGCAAGTAACAAATATCAAATTTACTAGAAAAACAGATTTACAAAAATTCACAATTGCCTCCAATACAACAAAGGTAAATTGGAAGGCAAACATAACAGGAAAGTGCCAGATGAAAAAAAAAAAAAAAGAAAAAACCAAAGAGCAATGCAGACACCACTGTGCCAGTGGAATCACTGACCTGCAAATAACTGCTTAATTCACCCAACTGTGAATGGTCAAATAAAGAGAGAGACTTAAAAAACTGCACACTGGAAAGTGATAACAACGATGTTGGTACAGTGACCCTGCTCAGGTATTGTCACTATTTCCATCAGGCATTTTAGAAAGAAAATCTCCACTTGATGGTAAATGAAGTGCAAATCACAACACGAATTTTTACAGAAAGCACAAGGTTGTGGTGTAAAATCTCAATAAAGCAGATTAGGATGGGTTTGCATTAGAGGTGGACATTTAAATGAATATTTTCTATGCTTTCCATATTTACATTTTTGATTTGGCAATAGTTAATGCCAGTGTTTCTAGAAGAATAAAAATACCTTACTCCTGCTGAGGAAGACTGGAGTGAGTGAAGTGCTGTACTCACCCTCAGTTTTGAAGTGGTAACATTTTCCCAGCAGAAAGACTGGAGAGTTCCTACTGAAGTAAGTTTTTGTTTTCAACACCCAACCTAGAACAGATGCAGAACAAATACAAATTTGTGACTGAATTTTCCAAAAGGAAATGCTAACAGCATCTGATTAAGCTGTAGGTAACCCTTGAAAAGGGAATAAAAAAAAAAAAAACATCGAAATTGGGTTTTGGTCTCATAAAAAATCCCATATAAGGTGCAATGGCTACTATTCCCTTTCAACCATGTGATAGCCTGAAAGAAAGCAGAAAAAAGTATCTTATCACCTTGCCAGATATGTCCAAAAGTCAGTTATGATTAATAAGGTTTATCAGAAATCTGGTGGTAAATCTGAGCAACCTCAGTCCTAAAGGGAAAGCAGAAAAATCAAGGACAGGCTAGTAAAGGGCACACTTGAAAATCTGGTTGCTCATAAATGAATTACTGATGTTCAGCTGTGGAAAAAATGTTACTTAAGGGTAGATTCTTCAGTGGAGTTTGTATCTCACACACCATCCTATTTTTTTTTCCATAAAAGTACATTCATAAACAAACAAAAAAATCTTTGTGCAGATGATTCCATATTATCCCTGTTTAAAAGCCTATGCAAATCTAGAGTAATTTACAGAATATATAAACTGTTTTCAAAAGGAGTAATTTAAAATGAAATTATCCAAGATTTATTTAAAAAAATGAAATTAGCTTTCATTCAGGAGTTTTTTAGTGAGGCTAATTTATAACATCAAAGAAAAAATTGTTTCAAGGGCCATATTGCATTTTTAGTATTTATTACTTATGATTCCATTCATATCAACAAGAAACACTCTAGTCCTTTTAATGAGGACAGATCTTGCCACACTCTGCTCCACTTACTGTATTTCATGTTGTGCCATGCAGACATAAACTTTGATTTGATCTTTTCTACTTCATCTGTCCCTGTGGCCTCCATATTCAAATTCTAGAGAAAAAGCCATCGCTGTCTTGTGAGGCTTTCAGTTCTGCTGCTGCAAAAACCAAAATACAAACACTCAGCATCCCCCACTCAGCCACTTAATCCCAACATGGCCAGAAACAGCAATAAACTCACAGAGGCAATCCCGTGTCCCATGAATAAGTAATAAAATAATTTAATTCCAAATATACACCAATAAAAGCACTACACAAAGCTAAATAAAAGATAATGTTCTCCAGCAGCTCTGCCTTGTACCACGAACTGCTGCAGAGCACAAAACCTGTGCTGGCACACGAGCACACTCATTTTTTATCAGCAGTGAGGTGGAGAGCTGTGATGCAGCTCACTAAATAGAAAAGATGCTGCTCTTTTCTGCTGAAGAGAAAACAAAAAACACTTTTTGTGTTAAAATCCACCACAGTGCAGGTTAATTTTGTAAAAAAATCCTGATAAATTTTTGAAGGAAATGCATCTTTATTGGCTCTTTCTGCACACAAAGATAAGACAGATTTCACCTTAAAAGCAACTTAAACTGGTTATAATTGGTAACAAGTAAATAAATAAATAAATAAATGGTAATGACTTTATCCCTTTTTCTAAGAAATCTGAGAAAATGGGACAGAACCCCCTCCACAGTCCAGCTGCCCCATTTCTAACAGGAAGTTTGCTATTAATTAACAGAACTTCCTTCACAATGTGTATTCTCTCAGTGGATCACCTTGAAATACTTGACACAGAAAGTTTTCTTGATGGTATTTGGTAGCACAAACCCTTGCACAGACAGCAGAAAAATTAAGAGCTCCTGATTCAACAGCAGCCCTTGTGGGGCATCAGAAGTTGATCAACAGTGGGACATCACTGCAACCTTCACAGAGCTTTTATCTAAGTTCTGATATTACCAGCTGAGGATGTGAGCAACAGTGATCTTCTACATTTAATTAATAAACTTGGGCCAAGAGAAAACCTCCCTGCTTTAAAAAGAGTATCTAGAACTGTATTTACCTTTCCATGTGCTATTCTCCACGGAAAGGGGATCAAAAGCAGGACAAAGACTTAACTATGTCACTTCTCTCCACTGGGAATGTATTTGAAGTAAACCCAACCACTGACAGTGTAATTAAGGAGAGGGTGAAGATGTCAGGGTGACAGCATCATCTGAGCCCGAGGGTACTCACACAGATCCACCTTTTGGGGATCTGCAGTCTGCTGCCCAAACCACCCCTAGCACATTTTCTCACTATTCCCTCATATTATTTCATAAAAATCTGCTTTTTGACATAATAAGAAACAATGCTAACTCACAAACATGAGGGAAGTCTTATGCTTTTCTAGTGAAAATAACAAGTGTCTACACCCTTGCTATTATTAGCCTTGTGTTAAACTGGGGAAAGAAGAAAAGGAGAATTTCAAGCTGGGTTTTAACTCCCTGCCTTTTCCCCTCTCTTTTTTCTTTAGGAAAAAAAAAAAAGGAAAGCCTGACTGTACCATCAGCTCTAGACAGCAAAGCTGGTAAGATGAACTCTTCAGAAGCTGTGTTTGGTCCCGTCTTCCCTCACATGATCCGTCAGCAACAACCATTTATACAGACACCACTGATTGCCTTAAAAACTAATTCCTATAAAAGCTTCTTCTGGCTAAAATTAGAAATGAAACAAACTCTACAGTTCTGAAAGAGCCTGAAGACAAAATTATGTAAATGAGAAAGAAGCTCGTTTTCTTTTCAAAGACAATGCACATTTATCTTTGCTCCCAGGACATTTCTTCTCTGACATTAAGTTAAAGATGAAAAAAAAGGCTTCCAAAAATGCTAACACAAACCAGGTATAATTTTTTCATGGGAAAAACACATGTTCTTCCCATCAATGCAAGGAAGCATCAGTAAGAGTTCCACGGAAATTAACAGAACAGCACCAGGAGAAGATCCCAGGGAATACAGATTGAAGCCCAATGAGCTTTAATATCAAATTATCAAATCCAAACCGAACGGTTTTATCCCGAAGTTGCCTCATTTCTGAAGTCCTTTAGATGCACATGACGAGGATGATGTTCCCTCAGGGAGCAGAGGGACACGGCTGGAATGGAAACCCCAACTCCTGATCACCCCTGAGGGGATCAGTGCCGGGAAGCGGCTGTTTGCTCACAGGGATGGAAAAACACCCCAAAACCCCACAACAACAGCGTTTGTTTTCATAAACAGCAGAAAAGCAACGCAAGCTGCCGTGAGACCGCAGCGGGAAGGATGAACGAAGCCTCAATAGGATAATTATAAGACATATTATCTCTTATTAACTAATTTGGTTTTCATTTGTACCTTGAAGGAGCCCGGAGCGGCAGCGGCGACGGTCAGGGAAACCCACACGGAAGAACGACGGCGAGCAGCGGCCAGAGGTCATTTTTGAGGAGCTGCAAACACAAAAGAGGATAGTTAGAAACCAGACTTTCAAGCCGTCTCCGAAAGAAAACCAGATTATTCCTTAGTCCTGCAGCAAGGACGGAACGCTTCGCTCAGATACGACTCGGAGCCAAGCAGGAGCCCACACGCACCGCGGGAAGGAGCTCGGCGGCTCCCGGGCCCACAGGACACGGCCGCACCCGAGCCGCCGCCGCGGAG